CCTCCCTCCCTCCCTCCATCCCTCCCTCTGGGATCTGAAGGGATATGAACAAATGCTGAAAGCAAAGACGAAGATGCCAACGATGCACCCCCCTTGCCTCCGTCATGCTGGCCCCGATGTGACAGCACTGGTGTTTATGTATTTTTCCACGCTGGCCATTGGGCGCTCGAGTGACTAGTCTTTGAACACGCCTTGCCACAACTGTTACTCGAGCCAGCGCTTCTGCGACAAAACGCTCGCGACGGAGATAAACGAGGGAAGAGGCGGAGACGGGTGCATGCTGGGTGCACGTCGCTTCACTGCACATGCCCTCCCAGCCAGCCGATGATACGAATTTCGGCCCAAACGTATCACTCCGGTCTTGCGCACAGCGTCACACAGAAGAGGGGAGGAGGCCACGAGGGGGAGGGAAAGGGAGAGGTACATGCATAGGCGTACACACGGCAACCGCCATCGGTTGCTCGCTTTTCTCTGGGGAAGCCCAAAAACCGAAAAACCCTTGAAAAGACGTGGGTGAGCCCTGCATTGCCAGTACTTCATGCCAAAGCAATGGCGTTCACCTGCTGGCCGTCTGCCGGCTCATGCCCCGCGGGCCTGGAGTTTGCGCACGAAGACTGACAGCATGAGCACAGCCGGCCCTGCCACCCCGAATTGCTCGATGACCCTCGGGTCGCACGCTAGGTGACACAGTCCATTCCACACTGTCGATTCGACCACTGAGTACGCACTTCCCTGGGGAGGCGGGGTGGAGGAGCGAGGGGAAGGGGCGCGGGGAGCAGGGGCGGCGGGAGGAGGGAAGAAAACCGTCTCAGGGGCAGTCTGATTCGACAAAGTGCTCTCACCGAAGGTCACCTCGAGGGCATTCTGGCTAGACATCGGGATCTCGCTGTTCTGGGATCCCGTAGCGGCTGCTGGCACGAACGACCCCAGAAGCCGCGCCATCCCATATGGCACGATCCAGGGCAGCCACTGCTCGGCGAAAACCCGCGCTGACGTGGCAATCGCTTCCGACTCCGTGCGGACGTAGAGTATGAAACACCAGAGTTGCAACACGCACCACAGAACTGTGAGCACCATGCTAATCTTGCAAACACCCGACAAGATACAGCCATAGCCCCAGCTCTTGCCCCACCGGGGTCTGCACGCACGCTCTTGGGTGACTCAGGGGGACGGCTGGAGAGGCACCGGGCTCCACTCCCCGTCCGAGTCGACGTGGCGGAAAACGGCCTGCCCAACCGTCTCGATAGTCAAGCCGTTGACTGCGTGGCTGCCGCCGCTGAGGGTCTCGATCTTCCCCTTCCAGAGTGCGATGCCCTTGCACTTGCCCACGGCCGCCCACCAGGCCTCGAAGGTGATGTTGCCCTCGTCCATGGTGGCCCGGAGCTCCCTCCCTCCCTCCCTCCCTCCCTCCTCCTCCTCCCTCTCCTCCTCCTCCTCCTCCTCCTCCTCCTCCTCCTCCTCCTCCTCCTCCTCCTCCTCCTCCTCCTCCTCCTTCGCGGCAGCAGTGGCAGCCGGGGGGCGCCTGCTGCACCGGCGCCGAGTGCCGGCGTGCCCGCCGCTCGAACTCGGCCAGGCGGGTGCGGAGGCGGGCCTGCGGCTCCCGCAGCCGGGCCCCGCCAGAGCCCGCAGGGTGGGGCCCAGGAGAAGGCTCTCGGGCCCCTGTCGGCGATCAGTGGGCGATTGGGAGTCGATGCATCCCCCCCTTCTGCCATCCCCCCCCCCCCTGTCGTTGCCCCTGACCCCTCTTGGCCGCCCCCGAGGGCGGGTGCCCGCCGCGGTGGCGCTGACGGCCGGGCCCAGGAAGAAGCAGGAGAGCTCCCAATTCGGCGGCGAGCCTTGAAAGGAGCCCAGGGACACACAAATAAATAGACACGAATCCCAGGATTCACCATGTTTCCCCCTATCTTCGGAGTTGTCGTCTTCCGCCCCACTCCCCATATGTTCTTGCATGTTCCTGGGGGTCGGCGATTAATTGTGTCTGTGCGTTTGTTCCCCTCCTGAGCCTTCTGAAGAGGCGGCGGGGCTTCTCAGAAGGCCTCAGGCTTTCTGAAAGGTTTTCTGTGTTTTCGGGGAGACCTCAGGAAACTTCTCAGAAGGCCAGGGGACTTCCGAGCCTTCTGAGAAGGCCCGCCCCTTCTCACTTCCCTCCTGGGCTCGCCGCCGACCAATCCCCTTCTCACTTCCCCCCTGGGCTCGCCGCCGACCAATGGAGGAACCACCCTGAGATCCTGGCATTCTCCATGTTTTCACAAAACGGGCGCTTTTGTTCCTTGTTTCGGGCCCTGGGACCATCACTGATCGATCCGGCTTGAGGATGCCGCAGAAAGATGGGGTCTAGGGCTCTGGTCGCGAATTCCCGCGATGCTGCAAAATTTCGCAACGTCTGATCTCACTTCGCCTCGTCCCCTCCAGGTCGGAAACGGCAGCGATACACCACCACCGACACCACCACCTCTGGCCAGGACCGTCCTAGGCCCTGGGATTGTGTATACAGCCTCCTAACCTCGACCGAGGGGGGTCTATGCACCATTCTGGGCCCCAGGGAGGCCTCCTCCCTCCCAGGTCGACTTCCCGACCTGGGCCTCAGGGAATCCTGCTCTCCTCCAGGTCGACTTCCCCACCCGAGCCCGCACGCTCCTGCCCCGCGGGCCCCAGGAAGTCCTTCCCCCCAGGTCGCCTTCCCGATCCGGGCCCCCTTCCCGACCCGAGCCCCCCACGCTCCTCCCCCACGGGTCCCAGCGAGTCCTCCTCCCCCCCAGGTCGATTTCTCGACCCAGGCCCCAAGGAGTCCTCCTCCCGCCAAGCAGGTCGACTTCCCGACAGCGATAAAGAAACAGGGACAGAATAGAAAGGACAGACCAAGGTTTCCTCGTGGCTTGCCACGCATTCCCCATCCAGTGCAACGCAGAGGGTGCCATGAGGGCATGGGAGGCAGCATCGCGTCGGATACGAGTCAGCCAGCCGCCAAAAACAGAACAGCGCGTAAGGCAACCGACGCGAATACACCGCGAAGCACGGTCAGCAAGCCACATGGCAGAATTCCGTGCTCACAGAACCACTGGACGTCCGCCACCGTGCGCCCTGACACGTTGAGGCGTGGCAGAATGCCAAGCACTGCCTGGCAAGGCTTCCAGATTCCTCCAAGCGTCCCCCCCCCCCTCGTCCCGCTCCGTCGCGTGCGCCGCCCCCCTTGACCGGGGGCGTCCGAGCTGCCCGAGACCGCTTCACTGACGGCCGAGGCAGGCCACCACGGCCGCCGACGTGGCCCCAGAGGTGCCTCCAAGACAGCACGGGATCGCCCCGAGACGGCCCGAGATGGCGACGGCCTGAGAGGCCCCCACGGACGGCCCAAGAGGGGCTCCAAGAGGTCCTCCAGTAGTAGCCAGAGGGAATCAAAGGCATGGATTCTCATAGGTTCCCACCAACGTACGCCGCGTTCTCACCTTTTCGGGCCTCCGTCAGCCCAAGATTCCCCCAATAGTCCTCCAAAATGGAGAAAAAATGCCAAAGGGGCCCCCAAGAAGCCCCGAAGAGGCCCCTTAGACGGCCCGAGAAGCTCGGATGCTATTTGGCACAAGACAAAACGATAACGCAATCAGACCACAAGTAATTCGCCGACCACTGCAACAAACATTACTACAGCTAGTCCCTCTTCGTCTGCGAAGAGGGCTGGCGCAGATTTTCACATTCGGCCCCCTGCCTCCATACTCTAACCTCACCTCCATTCCACTCTCCCCCCCTTCCCCTGCTACACCTCCCTCATCCCCTTCCCCCGATCCCTCCCTAAATGGCTGACTCTGAAAACCCCGGATCCAAAACACTGTTGACGTCTCGCTTGAACTTTCGCCGCTTCCGCTAAGCTTCTACCAGAAGACCCGCCGCTGGTTTACTTCCGCCGTCTTCCGCGGGACTTCCGCCAGCTTCCACTGAAAGCGAGGTGCGTCGAAAGCGAGGGCCTCTCTGGAGCGCCCCAGATGAAGCGAACAGTCAAGTCCGAAGCCACATCAGCCAGCCCATGCATCTTCCAGACCACGGGAGGAGAGCGGACTATCCTGCGGCTCCGCCTTGCCTGCCAGACCACGGCGGTACACCTGGCCCGCCGCCGCCAGGAGAGGAGGAAACGAGTGCTGCTGCAAGACGGATAATTATAGCGAGCGCGCGCGGTAAGAGACAAGTGAGACACCGAGGGGGGGCGGGAGAGAAAGAGAGATAGAGAGCACAAAAAAAGATAAAGATAAAGAGAGAGAGAGAGAGACGAAAAGAGAGAGAGAGAGAGGGAGACAGAGAGAGACAGAGAGAGAGAGAGACGGAGAGGGAGAGCAGGAGGGGGAGGCAGAGGGGGAGGGAGAGACACAAAGAGAAAGACGGCGCATCTTCGGGCAGTGTCTGTCCTGGCGCCGCGCGGCAAGCCGAGAGAGCACCCCGCGCCTGGGGCCGGCGCACAGCGAGCTGCACGAGAGGCGAGGAGCAAGACGGCCCCCAGCGCGCGACGAGGCGCACGACTGGCTGGGCAGAAGCGAGGCCCCGAGCGGCGCGCTGCGCCCGACCACTTGGGGGGGGTGCCCGCGGGGCAGGGGCCCAGAGGAGGGAAACGCCGTGGCAGGACGCCTCCCCGGGCGCAGCGGTCCCCTCCCCCCCGCGGCGGGGGCGTCCAAGAGGGGGGCGTCCAGGAGGAGGGGGTGCAAATCATGGCCCGTGGATATCATGACCCCTCCCTAGTCATCATCCCCCTCTTCTTGGCCGCCCCCCCCCCCCGCGGCACCGCATGCAGAGGACATTCGGCGAGGCACTGCCACCCAGGCAGCGGCGCCGTGGCAAGACGGAAGCCTCGGAGTGGAACGCGCCAGGGCGCCAGTGGCCCAGCGCATGCAGCACGGCGCCAGTGGCCCGGCGCAGGGCTCGGGATCGCCACTGCGCGCCGCAGGAGCCGTCGGCCGCGGCCGGGAGCGGCAACCGAAACCGACAGGATCGGCTCTGTGGAGTGTGGAGCCAAGGGAAAGCAGGCGCGTGTCGGGCCAGTCGACCGGCCAGGCGACAGAGCGGGAATTGAAGAGAGGGAGCGAAATATATAGAGAGAGAGAGAGAGAGAAACAAAAAAATGATATAATGTGTATATACATGTATTTGATTGTGTATATATACATATAAATTAACAGGGAGAGATGGGAGAGAACAAAAAAAAAAGTCTGGCGCAGAACCCAAGCCTGCCTAAACACGTGGCCGCTAATAACAGGACCAGTCAAAACACGAGAACACGTTGAGGAATCTAAAGTACCGCTGAACGCTTCGCCGAAGAACATCAGCCTCCCTGCCCATCTTCGTCATCATCGGCTACGCCTGCGGCGCCACCGCGGTCTACGCAGTGCTGTCCGCCGCCCCCCTGGACTTCCGCGGGTTCCTCTGGAGGCGGCCCTGGCGGCCGAGGTACGTCGACTTATCGTGATGAGATGGTCTTCCTGGAGCTGTTTGCGCGCTCTGCGGGGCTCTCTCGGGCTGTGCGACGACTGGGGCTACGTGTCGGCCCTGCGTTCGAAATGGCTCGTGGTGAAGAGTTTGACCTTGCGCGTAGAAGCACGCAACGCCTGGTCCTCCACTTGATGCGCTCCAGCAGGGTCTTCTGGGTCCACATGGGCACCCCGTGTTCTATCTGGTCTATATCTAGGAGAGGCATCAAGGACGGGGAGCGGGCTCGGCAGCAGGAACTTGTGGTGGTAGAGTTGGCTATTTTTTCGGCGGAGGTCGCTCGTGAGTGTCAGAGAGTAGCCTGGTCAATCGAAAACCCCAGGAGTTCAAATTTTTTGAGCTTCCACCCGATTTTCGAGCTCAGTGGGCTTCCTGGAGTTGTCAAGGTGATTTTTGATCAGTGCCAGTATTCAGTGCCATGGAAGAAACCTACCGTGATCCGAACTAACTCACCCAGCCTGGTTACCTTGGAAGCTCTCTGCAAGCGAGACCACCAACATGTGCATCTGACCGGTGGTTGTCGCCTCGTTGGCTCAGATGGCCACCTCAAGTGGGTGCGCCGCACGGCTGCAGCAGGGGCGTATCCGCCTGTCCTCTGTCGTGCATGGGCTCGCGCCATATGGCGGGTCGCCCCTGGCGCCGCTCGTGGCTCCCAGCCGGGTTGGCTCCAGAGCTGGGAAGCTTCTCTCAGGGAGGCCGTCGCTACCAGCGAACGTCGACGGCGGCGCCGTGCAGCATCGACTTCGAGGCACACCACACCAGGTGACCAAGGCGGCGAGGGTGTCTTCTTCACGACGAGGGCAGCCAAGGCGATCGAGAGGCAAGGCATCGACTGCGCTTGCGCCGGCCGCGGCACCGCCATGCAAACGCAGCTGGCATGATCGCATCGGCTCTGTGGGGGAGCTCAAGCACCGCACGGGAGGCGACACCAGCCCTGGCTTTCTCCGCCGGGGCACGGCGGGCCTGTCGACGCTGGAGCACTACAGGAAGGCCACGGCTGACTTCGTCTCCTGGGTCCAGAGGTGCGGCATGCCGTTGCGGCCGCCTCGGGCCCTGGCCAAGACCATGGAGCGCTATTTTGAGAGGTTGGCTCTGTCTGGTTATAGCCCCGCTGTTGGCCGTCTGGCGGTGCACGGCTGGGTCGAGCTCAAGTCGAACAATCGCGAAGTGACGCTGACCGACCTTGACCCCGCGATAGAGGCTCTGAAGGGCTGGCCGAAGCTAGTTCGCGAGTTCGTCATCAAGCCGAGCCCCGAGGAGATCATCTTCCTCATCCTCCTGTGGCTGGCTGAGAACGACGGTGTGGAGGCGGCTGCGGCAGGCATCCTCCAATATAATCTGTACGCTCGGCCCTCAGAGATCCTCGACTTACGCGCTATGATGACGTTATCGCTCCTACATCGGCAGCAGCTGCGCCTTACCGAAACTGGGCCGTCGTTTTCGGCCCTTCTGACAGAGGCAAACGCACCGAGACTGGCAACGTCGACGAGCATGTTACCATGTTACCTGCGGCTCTCACGGGCACGAGTGGGTTGTGGAGCTGCTCTCCTTGCTGCACCATGCGACGCCTAAGGAGGCGCTGCTCTTCCCGCGCCTCACGTTGCACTTGTATGAGAAAGAGATCCAGCGAGCTGTCACGGCGCTTGGCCTCTCGTCTCTCAACGTCACCCCACGCGTGCTTCGACGCTCTGGGCCGAGCAATGATTTGTTGAGAAAGCGCCGCACACTCGATTTCATCCGTCGCAGAGGGCGCTGGGATGCCATCAAGAGTTTGCAGCGATGCGAGAAGCACGCCCGACTGTTATCTCAAATGAAGAAAGTTCCGGCGTCCTTGGCTCCAAAGTTGTCGAATGCTCAGGGACTCCTTCGTGCTGCACTACGAAGCAGGTTGCCGCGAGGGCTTCAGGACTGAGCTGAAGTCTATTGTCTTCGTTTTTTGTTTGTACCCACCGTCCACCTACGTTTCCCATTCACGCACGGCAGCGCAGAGTGTGAGGGGTGCGCCGAAATTGGGCAGAGCACAATGCGAACGCAGCCAATGCAGCCTACGGTTGCGTTCCCTATGGGACCAGGAAACGTGTGATGGGTCTGCCGAAATGAGGCCAAACACCAGGTGAATCCAGTCACTGGGGCCTCTGGTGGAGACCCCTTGGGGCCACTCAACGTGTGCGGTGTCTGCCGGATTAGGGCGGGACACTCATGTGAACTACTCCACTGAGGCCTTCGGTGGAACCCCGTGTGGGGCCACGAAACGTGTGAGAGGTCTGCCGCGCTGGGGCGGTCTACTATGTGATCCCAGCCACTGGGGCATTCGGCGAAGCTCCCTATAGAGCCACGAAGCGTGTGAGGGGTCTACCGAAGCGGGACGGGGCACCATGTGAACCCAGCCACTGGGGCCTTCGGTGGAGCTCCATATGGGGAAACGAAACGTGCAAGGGGCCTGCCGAACCCAGCAACTGGTGCCTTCGGTGGAGCTCCTTATCAGGCTACGAAACGTGTACGGGGTCTGCTGAAATAGGGTGGGACACCATGTACGCCAAAACGACAAGAGAGAAGAATATTATAATGCATCGAACGAGGGAGGAGAAGGAGAGGAGAGAAGAGGAGAGGAGAGGAGAGGAGAGGAGAAGAGAGCAGACGAGGGGGGGGGAGACGGGAAGAAGGACGAGGAGCAGGATGAGGAAAGAGATGCGCGGCGCTGCGGGTTCAAAACGAGGACCCAGCACCCGTCAGGAAGGGAAAAACGAAGACAGAGACATAGAGAGAGGCAGAGGGAGAGGAGGAGAGAGAGAGAGAGAGAAGGAGAACCAGACATTTTTATATATATATATATATATATATATATATATATATATGTATGTGTGTATATGTATACATATATATATAATCATCAGAAACTCAAGTTCTCTGCCCAGAGACGACGTGCGTTGTCGAGCCGTCTATCAGGATCTACAATCTTCAGGAGCACCAAGAGATAACCCGAGGAGCTCATCAACCACATTGACCAGCCAACATATGCCAAAGCCCTCGGGCACGGCGTCAGCCTCAACATTTTCTCGCCCCTCCAGAAGACAGGCCGATGCACAGCCTGATGCTAAGCAGCCCAGAAAACTCTCAAGATCAGATCTCTGGCGAAGTGGAAGGTGCACATGTTTGAAACCATCCACTAGAGAGAACATCTGCACCTTCAGCTCGCTATCGTGCCCAAAAAAAAGATGGTAAAGAGGTGGTCGTCGAGGGTGGTGGCGGGGAAGACGGCTGGAGCACTTCGAGCACATATGTCAACGGGCACGGGCAGGACAGGACGCAAAGCGATAAAGACATGTAGAACTGCAATGCACCCTCAACTTTAAGTTCTCTGCCCAGAGACGCTGTGTGTTGTCGAGGCCTTCTATCAGGATCTGCAAATCTTCAGGAGTGCCAAGAGATGACCCGAGGAGCCCATCAACCACATTGACCAGCCAACATATCCCAATGCACTCGGGCACGGCGTCAGCCTCAACATTTTCTCTTCTCTCCAGAAGACAGGCCTGAGGTTAAGCAGTCCAGAAAACTCTCAAGATCAGATCTCTGGCGAAGTGGAAGGTGCACATGATTGAAGCCATCCACTAGAGAGAATATCTGCACCTTCAGCTCGCTATCCTGACCGAAATCTCACAACCAAAAACTCGCGCTCCAGCCTCGCCTGCTTGAGCACCGTGGCCCGATCCTTCTGGCGCCCAGCAACCCACTCGCGGAAGGACACGACGCTGGCCGCGCCCGAGGCGGTGACCGCGCCGCCCATGACCTCCTCGAGCCCCGTGAAGTCGGGGTGGGACGGGTCCCGCTCCACCGCCATCTCGAGCTGCACCTGCCGCCTGAAAAGGTTCTCGAACCCCTGGAGGTTCGAGGCGTCGACCTGATCTACCTCGACCAGCAGGCGCAACGTCTCCGAGTTTGCTCGATGCTGGTGAGAGGCGGCGGAGCCCTGAAACACACCTGAATCATGCTGCCAATTACGCTCATACACTTCGAATCCTCCCGCCTGGTCGACCAGGGTGAGATACTCCATGGCGAGACGTGGTCCAGGGAAGGCCCAATCGTCATACTTCACCTGTGAGTACAAAGCAAGCGCCTCCTTCAGCATGATGTAGCGCTTGCCGTTGCGGAGGTGCACGCCGATGATTCTGCCGTCGCGTTCGGCCGCCTGACGCTCCTTGAGCCAGGCATCGCGATCGCCAGCGTTCACTCTGGCAGCCCAGATCACTGTGCCGTTCACCTCTGCCACCGCCGTCCCCGATCTCTGTGAACCGCTCCTGGTCGTCCGCGATGTCCTGCGGCACGACCTCGCCCAGCCTCTCCAAGCCTGGGCCAGCACGCAGCCAAATCATGTCGAGGGCCTCGGCGTCCTCGTTGTCATCAGCCGGCACTCGAGCCTGTACCCCAGCCAGCTGGATGAACTGGTTCAACTCGACCCGCGTGATGGGATCAAAGCCGAAGATCTCATTCCTATTCACTCGGGCTGGCCACGCTGCGTTCCGACCCAAAACGATGTGACGAGTCGAACTCAAGTCGTGCGTGTACAAATCCAGAGTCGGCGTGAGCGTCACCCATACTCCCGCAGCGCCAGCCCTGACCAAGATGATACGCATGTGCCACAAGAAACCGTTGGCGTCATTCGGGAAATGCACCCACACCTGAAACTATTTGATGTCCAAAGAGCGATCCTTCAGAGCCGGCGACGGCTAGACGGAGTCGCCACGAGAATGTGGGTCGGCACCTGCTCCTGCACCGCCTTGGCTGCCACCGCGGGCGCGGGCGCCTGGGGCGAACGCGCGGGCGCAGGCGGCTGGGGCGCGCCCGCGGCGCGAAGGTGCTGGCGCCTGTCGTAGGCGGCGTAGCACCAGTCCCAGCCTCGCAGCAGCGCGATGCCGGTGAGGAAAGCGGCCGACAGCCCGATCCAGTCCCGCTCCTACACCACGATATGGCTGGTGCTAGCGGGCCCCGCACAAGTCAATGCACAGCTGACCGCCGGGCACGTGCACGCAGGGCACGCTGGACAGGTTGGGCAGCGCAGCACCAGGGCCTCTGCTAGTCTCACAGCAGTTGGTGCAAGAGAACAGAGGACCTCCATGCACGCCGGAGGCGGCCCCTTCAGCACTTTGAGCACATATGTCAACGGGCACGGGCAGAGCAGGACCCAAAGCGATAAAGAGATGTAGAACTGCAATACATACAGATATATATATAATAAGAAACACAGAGAGAGGGAGAGGGAGAGACAGAGGGAGGAGGGAGAGCAGAGAGAGGGGGGGGAGGGCATGCTGGGCGCGCTCGCGCTATACCTGATCGTCGACCCACCTCACCCATCCCTGTCCCATTGTTCCGATGTGTCCTCCATCCGCCGACGCGTGTCACAGCGAGCCTGGAGTTCCAAGAGGGCCCCTTGTCGTGCTCTGCACAATCGGAAAAAAGGAGCTGCGTGCAGTGGAGGAGGAAGCGGCGGATGAGCAGGAAGATGAGCAGGAGGAAAAGGAGGAGGACGAGGGAGGAGGACAAGGACGAACAACAGCATCAGGAGCTGGAGCGGAAGGAGTGGGAGGCGCAGGAGGACCAGGAGAAGGCGGAGGAGGGTAAAGGACAGGGGCGACAGCGATGAGGAAGGACTCGGATCCAGAAAAGTGGCCCGCGCCAGGGCGACATTGCCTAACGACGGGAGCAGAGCGCCGATCCAAAAATCGGACCCTCGCTGCAGCGGCAGCCCCTGTCTGAAGGTCCGAGAACAAACGGGATCCTAAAAGTTCGCGTGCGACAGAAAACCATACGCAGATGGGGGGGTGTTCCTCCCCAGTCATCTTCGGAGGAGGGAAGAAGAGTAGAATTCAAGTTGGGTGCTTCTAGAGGGACAGAGACAGTGAAAGGGAGAGAGGGAGAGAGGTAGAGACAGGGAGAAAGGGAGGGACAAGGTGAGAGATAAAGAGCGACGGGGGGAGCACGGGGGAGGAGGCGAAATAAGTGAGCAGCACCAGCATGGAGGAGAGAAAGAGAGTAGAATGAGGATGGGGATGAGGGTTACGCAGGTGAGGAGGAAGAGGAATAGGAGGGTGATGGAAAAGAGGGACGAGAGTGAGAGTGGGCGGGACGAGGAGGCGGAAAGAAAGAGGGATCATGAAGAGGGTGATGGGAAGAGGAGCAGACAGGGCGGGAGGGGCAGGAGAAATGGGAGGAGGGCGAGGGCCAAAAATGAGGCGGACAAGGGCGGGCAGGGGCAGGAGAAATAGGAGGGCGAGGGCCCAAAATGAGGCGGGCAAGGTCCTCACTCCTCACTCCGAGCGAGAAACGCAGGGCAATCCTCATGTCGTGCCTGTTGTGTCAGCCGCGAGCGTCCGCACACGGGTGGCAGCGGTGTGGGCATGGACAGCGCGACAAGAAGCGCGCATGACGGACACGCGAAAAGAGGCGCCATCACGCAGGAGGAGCAGGAGGAAGAGGAAGGAGGGGCGAGAAGATTTGTGTGCCAGGGAGATCCAGCTACAGCGCGATGGGCACTGCGGGACCGGCTGCCTGGGAACGAGCCCAGGAAGCCGAGGGACTGTACAGCACAGGCGCAGCGACAAGCAGTAACAACTAGCAGCGAGCAGGTGTGACTGTACTACCAGGAAGGGGAGAGGAAGAACGGCGGGCCCTCTCATGCTTCCCGCTCCCTGTTTTGCTTGCTGCTTCCCGGCCTCGCTCGCCGCTGCTCCGTCCCCTCCCCGGCCCCACTCTTCTCGTGATCGCTGTCATCCCGCGCCCGCTCTCCCAGCGAGGGAGTGGAAGACAGGTCGAGGGCCTGCACGACGGGAGGAGCGGCGGAGGAGGGGCAAGAAGGAGGAGCGAGCCCCAGCGACGCGAGCACGTCCCTCGGCGTGCTCCCAGCCCGGCGACGACTCCGATGGGGCAGGGAAGAGGGGGGGGGGGGGGCAGGAGGAGGATTCGAGAACTCCTCCTCCTCCCTCCTCCTCCTCCTCCTCCTCCTCCTCCTCCTCTCCTCCTCCCCTCCTCTCCTCCCTCCTCCTCCTCCTCCCTCCCTCCTCCTCCTCTCCTCCTCCTCCTCTCTCCTCCTCCTCCTCCTCCTCCTCCTCCTCCTCTCCTCCTCCTCTCCTCCTCCTCCTCCTCCTCCTCCTCCCTCCTCCTCCTCCTCCTCCTCTTCCGCCTCCTCCTCCTCCTTCTCCTTCTCTCCTCCCTCCTCCCTCCTCCTCCTCCTCCTCCTCCCCTCCTCCCCTCCCTCCTCTCTCCCCCTTCCCCCTCCGCCGCAGCGCCTCGCCAGCCTCCGCGTGCCGGTGGGCCCGCTCCAGGCAGGAGGCCCAGGCCTCGTAGAGGAGCGCCTGGCCGGCGCCCACGCCCTGCGCCTCGGCGAAGGGGGCCCCAGAGGCGACGGGGAGGGGAGGAGGGGGAGGAGGAGGAGGAGGAGGAGGAGGAGGAGGAGGAGGAGGAGGAGGAGGAGGAGGAGGAGGAGGAGGAGGAGGACGAGGGAGGAGGAGGAGGAGGAGGAGGAGGAGGAGGAGAGGAGAAGCGAGGAGGAGGAGGAGGAGGAGGAGGAGGAGGAGAAGCCAGGTGCGCTCGCGTCCTATCTGGCGTCCTACCCCTCCCTCCCGTCCCTGACCGGGGCGCAGATCTCCTCGCTGTTCGCACGATCGGATGTCGTAGCAGGGCATAGCATTACATAGCATAGCATGGTGGTGAAGATCAACGCGTAGCCTGACATACCATGGGACGCCCCAAAGTGTTGGGGCTTCAGCGGCCCAAAAAATTAACGAATTGACACCGAATGTGTAATCACGTCCGATTGCTTTTTCGGGGGAGCACTTTCTAGATGTTGGGGCCTGTTTGGAAGGACCGAAAACCATGCCGTGGCATGGCGCTGGAAATAATGACGCCAGCGCTGCAGCGGGAGCACGATTCGGAACGAGCGGAAGCACGGAAATAAGACAAGCGCTGCAGCGGGAGCACGATTCGGAGGACGCGTAGCCTGACATAGCATGGCGTGGCGACGCCTCAAAGTGGGGGGGCTTCTGCGACCCAAAAAATCAGCGAATCGGCACCGAATGTGTAATCACTTCCGACGGTTTTTTCGGGGGATCATGTTCTGGATTTTGGGGCCTATTTGGAAGAACCGAAAACGATGCCGTGGCATGGCGCTGGAAATAATGACGCCAGCGCTGCATCGGGAGCACGATTCGGAACGAGCGGAAGCGCGGAAATGAGGCCAGCGCTGCAGCGGGAGCACGATTCGGAACGAGCCGTAGCCCGAAAATGAGACCAGCGCTTCAGCGAGAGCAGCATTTTTCTTTCTTACATAATTTTTGCTATATATATAATAATAATAGTAATAATAATAATCATCATAATATAAGAATAAAAATAGTAATAATAATAATCGTAAGAATAATAATCATAATACTAATAATAATAATAATGATAATAATACTAATAATAAAAAAAATACTAATACTAATACTAATAATAATAAGCTGTATATACATTATGTATATAACAAATACATGAATAAATAAAATAATACATAAGCACATGAATAAAGTAAATAACTTGTTTCCCCATACACAAAAAAAAACAACAACAAAAAAAAAAAAAAAAAAAAAAAAAAAAAAAAAAAAAAAAAAAAAAAAAAAAAAAAAAAAAAAAAAAAAAAAAAATACGTGCCCCAGGAATCCTGTACCAAAAACCAACACGCGGAGAGGGGCCGAATATTTCCCAGACGTCACCAGGGGAGACAGGAGAGTAGTGCTCATAGTGTGTAACTGTGGAGGGAGCAGGGAGGGGAGTAGGGAGAAGGAGAAGAAGAGCCGGGGAAGGGGGGAAGGAGTGGAGGAGGAGGAGGAGGAGGAGGAGGAGGAGGAGGAGGAGACGGAGACGGAGGAGGAGGAGGAGGAGGAGGAGGGAGGGAGGACGAGGAGGGAGGGAGGAGGAGGAGAAGCGAGGAGGAGGAGGAGGAGGAGGAGGAGGAGGAGGAGCACAGCGTATCAATCGAGGTTCGGCAAGGGAGGAGGAGGACGACGAGGAGGAGGAGGAGTAGGAGGAGGAGGAGGGAAGGGGCCATCGGGGGCCCGAACCGAGCCCGCTCCCTCGGGAGGGGCGGTCGTCAGGACGGCCCCAGGCGCACATCCCCGGGGCACGCGCCGCGATGGGAGCCTTTGAGATGGCGCGGGCGCGGCAAGGCGAGGCACCGTGGCTCGCGCAGCTGCAGTTCACGAAGGGCAGCCACTGGTCCCGAGACCTACGTCGCACCAGAAAGGAGCGCCAGACGGCGGCGCAGCACAGAGCAATGGACCAGCTGCGAGTTCAGAAGCAGCACATAGTAGAGCTCGAAGTCAAACTCCGTGCACGGCACGACTGGTGGTATAGCCAGGACAAGTGGCAGAACCAGGCAGAGCGAGCAGTGCTGGCAGCCCTTGCGCCGACCGGCAGCGGCAGCAGCGCAAGTAGGCTCCATCGAGACGCTTTGGATAAAGAGGCTTGGGATAGAGAGGCCAGGGGCACAGAACAGTGAGCACAACAGGACAGTGGCAGCTTGGGCAGTGTACAGTGTGAGAATTCTGGCAGTGGCAGCCGGGAGGCAGTGCGACAAAGGTGGCAGTGGCAGCTCGCACCGTGCAAGAAGGGGCGGCAGTGGCTGTGCAAGAAGGGCAGCAATAGGGTGCAACGTGAGAGAGGGAGCAACTGTGGCAGGCAGTTGTAGCGGTAGCAGGCAGGCAGTGGCAGCTACCAACTGCGAGCCCGGCGTCAGCATCTACGAGGGTGGCAACACAAAATACAAGCCCGACGCCATCAGCTGCCAGGGTGGGGACGCGCAGCACGAGACCGACGCCATCAGCTACGAAGGCGGCGCAGAGAAGCACGAGCCCGATACCATCAGCTACGAGGGTGGCACAGGGAAGTATGAGCCCAACGCCATCCGCTACAAGGGTGGTGTCGCTAAGCACGAGTCCGATGCCATCAGCTACGACAGTGGTGTGGCTGCGAAGCAAGAACCCGACGTCATCAGCTAGAATGTTGGGGCCAGTCCCCTCATGCGAGAGGGCCCGGCAGCGGTGGGAGAAGGGCCGGCAGTGGTGCGTGAAGGGCAAGAAGTGGCGCGAGAAGGGAGGATTACAAGTGCGAGACGGGCCAGCAGTGGTGCGCGAGAAGGGCCAGCAGTGGTGCGAGAAGTGCTGGCAGATGGGGCAGTGGCGGCAAAGGTTGGATACAAAACGCCATCAGCTACAGCGTGGCACGCGGAACGCCGTGTCCATACCGTTTTCAGTGTCCTTGCAGGCTTGTACACCGCCCGCTATGCATATGTACTCGGTCGCCTAGGCTACAGGGACGTCAAGAAAAGCAGAAGAGAAGCCGAGAAGGAGAAGGAGCAGGAGATGTCTGACAGCGACGCCGGGGGACGAACAGGACGGGGGCAGGGTGTGGAGGGAAAGGTACGCATTAAACAAGCGCAGCGGCACACCGCAAGCCAGCCGCAGTGCGGACAGAGAGCGCGAGAAAGGACAGCAGTGGCGGCAGACGGGGCGAGGCGTGGAAGAGCCGACGTCATCAGCTACAAGCCAGGTCTGCGCGGGAAACTTGTCTTATGACGTGAACTGGCGCGACCTTAAGGGCCATATGAAGCAGGCGGGCAGCGTGGAATTCTGCTGAATGCTCACAGAGGACGGGGCCGTCTACGGCAGATCGTTCGGATACCGTCAGGTACGCTTCTCCACAGCAACGGAGGCTAAGAAGGCCACAGTGACCCTGGACGAGATGGAGCTCAAGAACCGGGGGATGCGGGTTCGGACGTGGTATGGCGCAAAGGGACGTCAGCTACCACGTGCGTAATAAAACAGTGGTGGTGTCGTGCGAGAAGAGCAGTTCAGCAGGAGGCATGGAGGGGAACGCGGCTCCTAACTGGGAGCCTCGACCGCCCGGGCGCGGGCCAGTTGTGTGAGGGGGTCCCGATGGACGCGCGAGAAAGAGGAGGAGGGGAGATGGGAGGACGGCGGAGGAGGAGGCAAAGGATGAGAAGGAGAAGGCGGAGGGGAAGGGAGAGAAAGAGGAGGGAGTTGGAGGATAAGGACGAGGACGAGGGGGAGCAAGAGGAGAGACGGGGAGGAAAAGCAGCAGCGGCACAAGGCCGAGAAGAAAGGAAGGAGGGAGCGACCAGGGAAGGGGCAGGGGGGAAAAGGTGTAAGCGGGGAAGTGGGGGAATGGGGGCACGGAATAGAAGCGGGAAAGTGGGCAAGTGGGGGAACGGAGAGAGCGGGGAAGAGGGGATCAACGCGTAAGTTTGTCGGAACAGGGATCTCCCTGCAGCATCGCTCTTGTACTACTGCAAGTCGCGCTCTGCAGGCCGCATCCTCCCCTTCCTGGTCAATATTAATTTCCTCCTCCTCCTCCTCCTTCTCCTCCTCCTCCTCCTCCTCCCTCCTCCTCCTCTACTCCCCTCCCCCCCCTCCCCCTCCCCCTCCCCCTCCCCTCCTCCTCCTCCTCCTCCTCATCCTCCTCCTCCTCCTCCTCCTCCTCCTCCTCCTCCTCCTCCTCCTCCTCCTCCTCATCCTTCATTCCTTCTCCGTCTGAATAACTCCTCCCTCCCGCACCCCGAGACTAGCCGGAAGGGCGGGCCGGGCGCGTCGCCATCTATTATCCTCAAGCTTGAAAATTTCAACAGCTTCACAGGGCGGGCGGCTTTCAACATGTGCCTCTTGCCTTAGCGGCGCGCACGCTCGCTTTACACATCTGCAAGAGCTTAACGGATTGAGGGCGGGTCGTTTTCAACATGTGGTTCTCGCCTTGGCGCCGCGCACGCTTGTCTTGAAAAGTTGCACGAGCTTCACGGATTGAGGGCGGGTCGTTGTCAAAATGTGGCTGTCGCCTAAGCGCGGCGCGCATGCGCTGTGACAAATTGCAAGGGCTTCTCGGAGTGAGGGCGGGTTGCCCAAATGTGGCTCTCGCCTTAGCGCCGCGCGCATTCGCTGTAACAAACAAAAGCCTCACGGAGTAATGGCGACTCCTTTTCAAAATGTGGCTCTCGCCTTAGCGCCGCACGGCAGAAGTTGGAAGAGCTTCGCGGATTCCCATTTGTAGCGTTAACGTACCAGAAACTGTGCTTTGGAACGAGTCAGGATTGAGGGCGCACCTATCACGTTGGTTCGCAGTGTTGAAGTCCCACGAATCGTGTGCTGGCACGACTCGACATCGTCAAGACGCAACAGCCAAGTTGTTTCGTGGCGTCGAAGCTCCGAGACTGGTGTCTGGCACGCTTCAGGATCTTCCTACGGTTGTCTCCCCACGGGGCACATCTCTGAGTGGAAATGAACCCTTGTAGAGGCCTTTGCACAGAGAGCTTGGATGGAAGGTTTGCTCCACCATAGTTGATGAGTCTTCGGTTTACACTGGCCCTCCTCCTCCTCCTCCTCCTCCTCCCATTATTCTTCCCATTATTCCTCCTACTCCTCATCCTCCTCTTCGCTCTCCTCATTCTCCTCCTCCTCCTCCTCCTCCTCCTCCTCCTCCGCCTCCGCCTCCGCATCCGCATCCGCATCCGCATCCGCATCCGCATCCGCATCCGCATCTTCAACTTCCCGCCCTTGAGGCAAAGGAAGGGGTGGAGGAGGAAAAGCAGCAGCAGCAGCATCTGGCTTCCTTTCGCGTCCAGGCTCCCCATCCGGAAACCCGAAGTGACACACGGCCCGGATCCTGGTGCGGGCCTGAATCTCGGCAGGAGCGCGCCTGCCTGTTGGAGGAGCTGGGAGGGGCGCGGTCAGTCGGCATCAAATCGGGAAATCGGGCCGAAACGACCTGTGCGTCGGATCGGGCTGCATCGGCACGGAGTCGGAATCGAATCGGATCGGCTACGCTTGGATATGCAGCTACGCCGTGCAAGCATCGGGCCGCATCGGATCGCCGGGAAATCGAAATCGAATCGGATCGAGCCGGGCGAACTCGATATCGAATCGGATCGATCACTCCAAAAGGGCTCTGAGGGGGGAGGGGGGACCTCAGGAGCACCCCCGTGGACTCCCGAGGCACGCAAGAAGCGAAAGACTACCCAAAAAGCTGCTGGCAAAACACCAAAGATGCCGCAGCGGGCGTGACTCAACATCGATGCGCCTGTGCATAGCAACGGAGGGCCACTGCGCACACCCCACAAGACTTCGATCGCCCACCTCGCACTCCTCCAACGCCCCCGTCGTAAAGCCCTCCTTCATCGGATGATCGGCAAGGTCAGCGCTTGACCCCCAAAAACCACTTTTTGCCAGCGCGAGGCCTCGAGGGAACGAAACACTTCCTGCGGGCACGGCTGCATGTTGGCGTACCGCACCAGCAGCCGCAGGGTGCGCTGGTCGGACCTTGCCCGCTCGTTGCCCAGGAGCGTGCGGCATGCCCGCGTCAACACGGCGCCCGCCTGGGGAATGCGAGCGTTCAGATATGGCCCGAGCAATGCTCATGCGGCCAGAGTCTCCACGACTGCCACAATGTCAGTTTACCAGAATGCCCAACGATTCTGCACCTTGCATGCATTAATCATGATAGCTCCAAAAACAGCAACAACCAAACTTGGCGCGCGAAGACAACAAAAGCCGACATCAGCGTCTGCGGTTTGGCAAGATGCCGCCGTACAACGATGCACAGACGCACTTACTTCACGAATCCGTCATCCGTTCAAGCTGAACCACATGTGCTTGTGACGTAAACAAAGGCTACGAATGCAATGGCGCATGTTTCTCCTCGCTCGTCTACCCGGCAGCTCGAGACACAAATGGCTGAATTCATATGTGGAACACCCGGAAACCACGCGCGGGATACACATGCGAAAGTCTGACGTGCCAGGCCATAGAATGGCCGTGCGCTGGAAAGACATCTAGCCACATGTATATCCAGCTCTCGTCCAGGCCAGCCGCGCACAGAAGGCTTTCTACATATCACTCGAATCCCCGCCCAGCAAGACAAACGAGCGACACATGACCCATTCCCCGTACAGCCAGGACATGCCAGAACTACGCCGCACCTCTTCGCGACACGCTAGATTGCCGACGACCAGCTCAGACCCAAACGGGGCCCGAAAAACATAGAACCGGACACGCAACCCGCATGGTGGGACCTAAATATTCGCAAATGAAACAAGGCGTGTGGGAGCCCCTTACCCTCGATGAGGCGCTTGGACAAGCGGGATAGCAAGACAAAGCCCATCGCGATAAATCCAGCAAATAAAAACACAAGCGTTGGGCGCCGAACGCCACATCAACAGAACGCGCCGCATCTCCGATGCATTTGTGCTGTGCCTCCGTGCCGAAACGAATACAATGAAGCTTACCTGCTGTGGCCCCGCCATAGCACATGCGCACGGAGATCGGACAACACATACGGGAGCGAAGGAAGGAGAAAATACAAGAGGGCGGAGGCACAGGAGAAGGAATAACCAGAGGGTGGTGGCGGCGGGAGCCACCGGAGGCCCCGCCTCTTTCCACCATGTCTGGGGACGCGTTAATATGCCCGCGGGCCTGCCAGCAATTTGTATTCGGCTGGAGGCAGGTACGAAGCTCCCGATGCTATCGTCTTAATTAGATGGAATATGCTGCTTCTACTTGGACCACATTAGCCACGCCAAGCATGCCGCCACGGAAAACTCCCTTGCCAGGACTGCAACCGAGGCACACCGCACATGGCAGCGACAGCCGGTGCACCCTGGCCGGAGCTCCCGCGCCCGAACGCGGGTTTCCATGAGCCTGCCTGCACTGGCGTCCCAAGCAGGGGTCGCGCTGGAACTTCCTGAGGCAGGAACCTGACATTGACTCACACTATAGTTTAGTGGAAAGACGTTCCCCCCTGGAAAGGGCCGCCTGCGCTTGCCGCGTATTCTCATCCACCCTGAGGAATCGGCCGCCCAAACCTATGAAGAAAGGCGAACCAAGGCGGGCACACGTTACCCTGAGGAGTCAGTGAAAGTCCCGCAACCGCAGTCTCGCGCCCGCGCGCTTCCCGACGCTGATGAATCAGTCCATCTTTCACGGTTCGTGCCCAACCCGTGCCCCAGACATTGGGCCTGCGTTCCTGGAGGGGCGGCGCCAGACGCGCGCAGCCCCAGACACTTCGACGAAAGACCAGCTGCAAAGACCGCATCCGCTACCAGCAGCAGGCGAGTCTTCATGCACAACAGCCTTCACACGGCCAGTGTTTGCCTTGCGGACGGCGCCAGTTTGTTTTTTGGCCCACAGAGATCTCTGGAACCCCGCGGGTGCTCGGGGCCTCGGACGGCGATCTGGCGACCACACTCCCGTGGCAGCCAACCCCATGGTTGAGTGCCGACGGCGGAGAACAACACACGGCGAGTGAGACAATGGGGTCAAGGCACAGCGCAGAAGCTCCACAAGGCATTAAGACGCCCCACGCCTCAGGCGAACTAGGAAGTATCAAACGCGCCAGTTCGAGTTACGAAGACGTGCAAATGGAGCCCGGAGAAAATAAATCGCACCCGTCCTGAATGAAAGCGCACGCGGCGGTCGACAATCAGCCGAGCCTGCACCCATCGCAAAGCTGCCAATCGAGCGAGCCAGAGGAAGGAGGAGGCGGAGGAATCAGCGGAGAGAGGAGAGAAGGAGGAAGAGGGCCACGAGATAGCAAGTATTAGCGCTGCACGTGCACATCCAAACTGAGTGAGACTAGCAAGGCACAGAGTTGGACTCCCATGGCAACTGGATGTTCACAAGTTCATGTTCAAGCTCTCACCACACGGCCAAGCTGCGTGGAGGCGGCAAGCCGACAAAGGCGGCGCGGGCTAGCCACGGTATCCCGGAGGGAGCGGCGACAAGACCGGGCGGCACGTATGTGGCCCACCTCCGCGTGCAGCCGGCGCAGGCGCAAATTTTCCGCACACGGAGCGGCCACCCTGGCGGGCGCACCCCGTGTCCGCGACCCTGGAGTAGAAGGGGAGGAGACGACGAGAGGAGAGGAAGGGCGCGCACAATTCGAAGCCACAGCAAAAAAAAAAACCTTAGATCATGGAGGAACCTCCATGTCCATCCAACATTCCAGGCATGAAGCGGCAAAAGTGAGCCCAAAGTCGAGGACGGGGCGCGAAAGAAGGAGGAGGGAGGGAAAGGGGGAGGCAGCACGCTCTTGCCGAGCGCTGTGGGCCTCCACAGCCACGGATGAATTTGCCGGCCGCGATCGACAGCGCGGCACCTCGCATCCGAGGAGGGAGGCCGAGGCGTAAGGAGGAGGAAGGAGGAGGAGGAGGACTGGGGGAACAGCCAGCGCAAGGGCGGGTCCAACAGCAAGCAGCAACGACGGGGGAGACACAGGAGTAGGGAGCGGGCGCCGTCCCGAGCCGTGGCCATGGTGCCGAGTCCCCAAGCATCCGCGAGCGGGGCTGAAATCGAGCCCGGGCCGTGTGCCGGGTTGAAATCGAGCCCGGGCGCGCTGCCGTGCTTCGCCTCGGCGGGCCCCAGGGGCACCTGGATTTGGTCGCTGCCCACTTCCCGACAGGCTCTTCTCACCCGCTACACGCGCCAGCCGAGGCGGCAGGAGCTGCTGCAGCTCGATCGCGGCCACTCCCGCAGCAACGGGCGGAGCTGCGGCTGAAGATAGCGCGGGCGCTCCGCCCAGCAGCGGTCACGCTCATGGTGGTCGCTGGGGACTTCAATTGGGCAGTCGAGGACGCTGACCGGGTCACGCTGCGCTCGGCGGTCAACTCGGGGGCGCGGGATGGTGCTGAAGAGCGCCACTGGCAGCAAGTGGCCTTGCGACCGCATGCCCTCCACGAGCTGCACCAGCCGGCCATGACCCACAGCACGGGTCGGCAAGATCGCGGCTCGATCGGGCATATTGGAACCAGGAGGCCGCCGAGCAACTCGACCGGGAGCTCTTCTCGGTGGCCTTGGAGTGGGTGCCTGCGCTCTCACGCCACAGGGCGGTGGCCGTCGGCCGCAGGGTGCCCTTGCGGGCTGCGTCGGGCGACCGGCCGACTCCTGCCGAGGTCACGCGACACCGTGATTGGGCACACCGGGTCCTTTTGATATTCCAAGAGAGCACCGCGGCGGAACCCGACGAAGCGCCGTTACGACTGCTGGGGTGGCTGAAAGAGGCTATGCGGACCGTCGCGCAGCACATCGCGCGGGAGCTCGCCCACGGTCATCAGGCGGAGGCCACGGAGGACAAACTCGGTGTCACCATGCAGTTCGTCCGAGCCGTGGAAGGCGGTTATGTCGCATCAGTACTTGTCTGGAGCGGTACCCGCAACTCACTTCACTGGTGGACAATCCGTACTCGCCGCAGCTCCGCGGGAATGGCCCGCTGCAGTCAGTCCGCCAGCATGCAGTCCAGCTAGCCCGCGACCACGTTATCGAGGAGCTGCGCCAACTACAGGACGACCTCCCGTCGCTGGACGCTCAGCAGGCCGCCGTGCGGCGCGGCCGCACCTGGCGCCTCCTTGCCCGGCTCACGCCAGGGCGGAGCAGGTCGATCGCTGCCGTAGTCAACCCGTCAGGGGAGGCCGTGACGCAACCAGCCGCCAGGCCGCCATGGCCGCCGCGGTGTTCTGGGCCCAGCCGCTCGACGGCGCACTTCGGCAGCAGTGGTTGCAGGAGCAAAGTTTGGCGAGGGCTGCCCGCGGCGGCTCCAGACTGCCTGCGGCCGACGACTCGCGCTGGCGGCTGCGGCCCAAGGACGCGCGGGGCGCCCTCGCCCACGCGCCCCACCGCCCCTGGCCCGGACGGGATCCCGTTCTGAGGGTGGCAGAGCCTCGGGGAGGCAGCCGTCGACGTGTTGTTCAAGGTATACGAGCAGCTTGTATCTCCAGACGCGGCATCGGCTATTCAGCGAGACCTGGTGCTCCTGCCGAAGACTTCAACAGCCACGGGCTCCGACGGAGTGCCACGGCACGCCCATTCCGACACGCGGCCTTTAAGCCGGCGGCGCCTCGAGCCCCTGCTTGCGCGCGATGTGTCTCCAGAGCAGCGCGGAACCATAGGGGGCCGATCCATGCTGGCGAATATCGTCGACGTTGACAAGGCGACGCAGACGACGGCGCTCACGGCAGCGGCGGGGGCAGCGGTGTTCTTCGACTTCGTGGCAGCATTCCCGAGCGTCGGGCAGGACTTTCTTCTGGATGCCTTGGCTGCCACGGGGATGCCGCCGCCGGTGCTGCAGTATATGCGCTCGCTGTACCACCAAAACCGCTGCCGCCTCGTGAACGGAGGCGAGATCCACGACAATGACGGCGGGGATCCGCCAGGGCTGCCGATTATCTCCGGTTCTTTTCGCAGTGGCTGCAGACCTGCTGCTGCGGCGACTCGGGCGGGCCCTCCCCGCGGCGGTCCGCCGAGCGCACGCGGACGACCTTGCGGTGGTGACGCGCGATGGGGCAGCAGCCGCGGCTGTGCTGGAACCGCTCTTCGACGCCTGCGC